AAAAATTAAAATCATAATTTAAAATTTAAAAATTTATCATATTAAATATTAATATTTAAAATTATAAATTAATTATATATTTTAATATAATGTGTTCCCTAATATTTATTACTCATCAAACTAAAATAAATCGACCAATTAATATTTTGTGATATTAACATTTTTTTTTATAGTGGCACGGAATAATCTTTACACGAGATTATCAAAATTACCTCCATCATAATTGGATTAAACATATTAATTTATGCGAATTGAATCGAGGGCTAGGAATGGATTACACCTACCCGAATCCGTGGCGCGCATAGTACGGGAGATTTGAAAGGAGAGTCTCGTCGATGTCAAAAACCCAAGCGTCCTTGCCGTCGGTGGCGATCTCAACGGAGGAAGCGTAAGCGAAGGAGTAGTTAGCGACGATTACGGAATCGGACAGGTACCGTTGACCGGTCATGTAGTTCTGGACGAAGACTTGGCATTGAGAGGGAATGGTGCTCCATTCTCCGGCGTTGTTAGTCTCGACGGAGAGCCTCCAGCTGTCGCAATAGAGGTCATCGTTAAGGCCGAACTTCCGGTGGCCGGTAGGTAATCGGATGAGCGATGGAGAGGAGAAGGTTGTGGAGATGAAAACGGAGAGTAGGATGAGGAACAAGAGATGACTGGAGGCCATTGAGAAATCTCTTGCGCGCGAGCAGAGACTTCGTTGTTTCTTCTCCCTCTCTCCCACCCGAGCAGCTGCTAAGGAGCAGAGATTGTCCAATATACCTTGCGGTCTAGACTAATCTGCGTTTTTAATCTTATCTGCTTGCCAAAAGGTTATTACAAATCGACTTTGATCTACCCCTGGTGAAACGGTGCCGTTACAGTACCAGCTTTTCAGACCTAAAAGCTGCACGCGTCCACGTGACGCACGAGGGTCTGAATCAAACGGGATTAGCTTTGCGAGAGAAAACACTTCCCTTCTTTTAATACATGCTTACTGGTCGGGAATTCCAGATCTACCATCGGCAGCAAAATTACTGTTATAAGTAATGAATAACTGAATAAAAGCTATTGACCAACGAAATGTTGGTTTTGATGGAAAAATTTTAATTTTTATTCAATAAAATTTTAAATTTGAATATCAACTTTATATTAATTAGATTCTTTAAATATTGATGGTTTAGTATTAAAAAAAATTAAAAGTGGTTGATTTAAGTAAGTTAATAATAGCACTTGGACCTTTGGTAAAATGACAACAAAATTATGTTAAAATGTATTTTTTTCTTTTTAGATAATGATTTGAATTCAACCTTAGTAAATATGTTAAAAAAAAAAAGTAAGTTAATAATAAATAATAAATATTTTTAAGTAAAAATAAAA